ATTTTCCCAGGCAGAAATGTACTGTTTTTCCACACCAGATGCAACCCCCAAGGTTTGAGCCAGCGCCCTCCGCCCTTTCCGTTTCACTTATGGCTTATGGCCTGTCAGAGGGACGTGGCTGTGCCTGTGTTTATGGAGATTGAGCATTCTCGAGGCACGCCTGCACCTGCTGAGACATGAGAAACATTCCAGACCTGTTGATTGCCGGTTCAATGGACGCCAAAACCAGGCAGAGATTAGGAGTGTTCCTCGCTGCTCAAAGGTTCTTTGGAATGGACATTTCGGGATCTCTGTAGACACTCAAACACTCTTACAAGGAAGGAGTCTTGGCTGTATTGCAGAGGGGCTACCAGGAAGGTTCCCCGTTCATTTTTACATGTTTTTTCTGAATGGACTGAAAACATGTTTCATTAGGGTTTTTGCAATATTTGTATCAGCAAAAATATTGCCAAAGAGCGCGGAGCAGCATTTATCTTCGCAACAATAAGATTGTATCGCATCTACGCCCGATTGAGTTTTGGTGGCTCGTCCCGCGGTCATCACAATGTCATTGCCATCAAGAATTTTTTGTGCGGAGATCTTGCAGTATACACACTCCCCCAAAGTAGCCGAGAGTGATCGGTCGGGGAAGCTCATTTTAGACATTAAATACTCTACTTCGAGTGATCCCCACCATGACGTCTTCATGCCATGGTGAGGAGCATGTTGCCATGGTCGTGAGTTTTGCGGTTCTCGACTTTGTGTTTGTTGGTCCTCGGGTTGTGTGCTGTGATTGTGGTTGTGTGCTGGTTGAGGTCCGGCGGGGAACACTGCCATCCTGCAGAGCCCAAGAGCGAAAAACGCGAAACATGGGCGCGCTCTTTTCCCACAAGCTGTGCTGTCTGACGTGCCCGGAGCAGAGTTTGGAGACACAGCATAGACGAAAATGAACATGAAGATGGTTGAAGTCCACTAAAAGCTCGGTAGAAGCCTCGTGCACGAGGTTTTGAAGTACTTGGTTCCAGTAAGTGCAAAATTTGACATGAAGCTTATCATGAAAAACATATAGGACTCTAGCCCCTTCAATTTCATCTGAAACGCATTGCTGTGTTAAATCTTCAGAACAACTGTTGCCCTTTGCTACAGCATGAGCGGCGAGAAGTGAATGGGGTGGAGTAAGCCCGGACACGATGGCAAGGTGCAAAGAGTAGTCGCCAAATTGACATTACCAAGTGTAAGCGGGAGAGGGTGTGAGCAAGGATACCAACCAATTTTTAAGTTAACCGCCTAACAGCACGACTGCCAGTGGAAGACGCTAGAGTAGGGCGTGCCCTCGCAAAGGCAGACAAAAAAAGGCTCAAGATCGGAGTGAGCGATGGCAAATCTGAATTGGTCGAAGATTCGAAGATGGAGTTGCGATCGACGATTCGAAGTTGCAAAGCCATGGCTTAAGAGGCCGCCCGAGCCGCAGGCAGGAAACGAGCGGGAAAGCCGGCCACCTGAGCCAGGCAGGAGCGGTGTCCTGTCTTGGAAAAAGCCAGTTGAGGGACTGGAGAACCAATTTATCAATGAGATCATGCAGGGCAGCCACTGGTCTTTGGTTAACAGTTGGAACTTCAAGCAGCCCCAGCACATCAACCTCTTAGAGCTGAAATTCGTGGAGAAGCTTGTTGAGAGAGTTGCCAAGAGAGGAGCGCTGCGCTTCTGATTCTGTTCTCTAGTCGACTCCAACGTTTCTCGAGAACCTGTGGGGAAGGGACGATCAGCCTCTCTGGCAATCTCATTCGTGCTGCGAAGGATCTCGGCCATGCTTGTGGCTTTTGGGGGCTGCATGGCCAAGCATGCAATTTCAATTTAGCAGGGCGCCTGGTGCCCGGCGCCCAAGATGGAGTCGTGAATCCTCTCATTGCTCGGCAATGCTTCTCTTTGCAAAACGAAGCATCCCAAAAAGAGGATGAAGTGTCTCCACATGGACAGTCTCTTGCTGGGCAATCCGCTCTCTTGGCGGCTGGGCACTTATGACTTTGAAGAGCCAATTCCTAATGCCTCATTGTTGCACAAGGAACGGGCCTCTAGGATTCAACTGTCCATCATTGCTCGCGGCGCCGCCTGGTGCGCACCTTGACCTTGTAGCCTTTGTTGCGACGCTCATGGTCTTCTGTGGCTCCTTCGTTGGGCCATCCGTGGTCCTTTCAGCGACCACGTTCTGCAAGGTCTTTTGCAATCCTGCGTGTTGCCGCGTTGCCACTATCCTTCCAAAATCCGCTGATGCAGTTGCTACGCTCGCACCCACCGCTGGTCCACCCCCCTCCGCGAGCCCAAGATGGAAGGTCTTACGACTTGCACCCGGGGCGTTGCCACCATCTTCCACAAGCCTTTTCAGACTGCATCGCCCCGCTTATTCCATCATCCGCTCCCAGAGCTTACCCGTGATCCGATCGTAACGCGTAAGTCCCCCCAACGCCTTCAAATCGTCAGCTGTTACCGTTGGCCTCCGGGCCTCCTGCGACCCTGCCGCAAGGCGATCCGTGCCCGGATCGTCGACTGACCGTCGGCCTCCTGTGAGCCCGTGCCCGTGCGCCGAGGTATTGCGACGTCCAGCTGTCTCCAAGAAGCTGCTTTCACAAGTCTGCCATCCACGCTGAGTGCGGCAGGGTTTCCTCGCTCCCCGATCCTTTGGAAAAACAACCATGCCCAATGCTTTTGGGAAAAAGACGCCCTATGTTCTGCTAGCTTGGGTAGGTTTGGGTTTTGCCAAATCGGATCTGGAACTTTGGAGCTTTTCATTCCATTTCAACTTTTCGATGTGTTGCCTTGAAATTATCTTGGAAAACACACAGGTGAGAAAGTGTGACTCATAATTGGGAGACATTGAGCACCCCTTCCAAACATTGAATTAGCTGATAGAATCCGATTTTGCCCAAGTTGGAAATGGTGTCCTATAGTGGTGTGAAAGGATGCATTTCCATTGTTGATGCAGTCTGAACAGACTGCCCAGTCGGTTGAGAACTCAGCAGTTGAAGCGGCGGCCAATACTTACTCGATGGGTTTCACGGTCAGTTCGTCTCAAGGGTTCATGTCATATGGTTTTGTTTGATGAATGTGGCACTGATTGGTTTCATCGTATCTTATTTTCTTTGACACAACCTGTGATGGGATTGTTTCTCTAGTTGTTTGAATTTCTTCGTGCAAAGTGGAGTTGAATATGGTTTGATCGTCGGACGCAGTCAATATCAACCAATGAATTTTAGATGGTCATAAGACCATGACCACTGGCGTTGCCATCCCCAGAAATTCTAGTGGGTTAGGAGTCTTTGATTTTTTAAGAGACGCACCTTCACTCCCAAAACTATAGACATGTCCCAATATGTTCGTTTGTTGGATTGGACGTTGGGTTTCTTCAATTGCCGTTCATTTTGGTTTGTCTGAAAATGGGGAGATCGCACAAATACAAGTGGAACGAACAACCACCAGTCAAAAGATAACTTTACATGTGGATGGAAGGAATCCTGTTCATTGAAACCCTCGTGCAACGTTCACATGTTGTTTTGAGGTTGTGTTTGCTTTCATTTTCCAACAGCATCAAACTCATCATGTCCTCCAAAAACATGTATCAAACAGGGTGCCACCTGAACATATCAAGAGTTCCGCAAGACTGCCAATGTTCTTCCAAGTGCCCAGTGTGACTATAACTCCGATTTTCATTTGTAAGAACGGTCTGTTTTCTTCGAAATGTTTGAGACCCTGCTTGCACCTGGGAGACGTGCATCAGGATTTGGGATCTGACTTCCGCAGGGGTCTCCATTCATTCTGACCCTAAAGCGCCTCCCCAGAGCTGAAGGATGACCCAAAATGCAGTTGATTTTTTTCGCTGGGTTTGGTGCAGGGACCCACCCACCAATCTGGTGCATGAACCCAAGATATAGCCACCGTTGCAATCCTTTGTAGGTCCGTTCCGTAGGTGTTCGGACATTCAGAGGAGCTGGTGTCAACACTGACCAGGTCTGTCCCTTTCCGAAGAAAGGGCGCTTCCCAACCTCCAGCCGAAACAAACCAAGTGTTGTCGAGGTTGAGAAGGCAGTTGGGAAGCAAAGAACCATTTCAGCAGGCAGTCCTTCAATTTATCTCTTTTGTTCTTTGTATTCTAGGTTTGAGGCCATCGCTATTGGGTTGGAGGCCATGGCTATTAGCTTGCAAATATATATATATACTATGTTTGGCAGTATAATATGTGCCTGAGATATTGCCATTACTATTTGATCAGAGTATATGTGTCAGGGCGCGGCATCACAGCATTGAAGGCAACTACTAGGACCAAATGGGCATTGCCGAAGAGATGTTTGACATTTGTCACACAAGTCCACACTGTCCGAGCACAGACATCAGCTGCCTCTAGCACCATGAGGGCCGGCGACTCCACGGTCGCCGTGGACTCTGTCTGGGCCAAGTGCGTCGGGTTCACCTGCTGCCTGGTTGAGCCCACGCGGAGTGGAGGGAGCAGCAGCCCGAGCGTTGGAGAAGCCGGAACCTCGGTGAGGATCGAGGAGAAAAGTGAGTTGTGAGATGGCCTCCAACCCAAGAGCGATGGTCACCTAATAGCGAGAAGATGAAGAAGGGCAGGCAAGGGCAGGGAAGGGCAATGGTTGATAGGGAAGGGTTAGTTTGTAGAAGTTGCTAGCGACTGCTAGTGAAGTGGGGTCCAACCCAGGAAGTTCAGTTAGATATACGCGCTCAGATTTGTTTCGTTCCCACCAGTGATTCTCAGATTGAAGGTCCCTGTCACTCCCTCTCATTCATGGTAAGATTGTGGAATTTGCATAGACCTACTGTAGTTGCGCTCCCTTTGGTCGTTGGCCGAAGTCTTCTGAAGTCAAATCCCACCCCCAGTCATCCCCATGTTTTTTTCAGCTCTGCACGGAGTGAAGAGGCAAGGAATTCTCGCTTTTCATGTTTTTCACCTGCCAAGCACGGCTGCTTGGGGGCTCTTCAGAACATGTGCCCTAGACCCTAGATATCGAGAGGTACGTGGAAAGATCAGATGGATGGCCTCTCTTCTGGTGGTGCACCGCCGTGGTCTTGCTGGTGAATGTGAGTTTGGGGATCCTCGCAGTGCACTTGGTGGACAGTTGCGTCAGTTGCGGTGGACAGTTGCGCCAAATGACCCCCCTTTGTATTTTCCCTTCTCAAATTTCTCAATCAGCCTTTAAGAACATGTTGTGCAAGCGGCAAGAACGGGTAAGTTGACATGAGGCTGTAGTACTCTGCTGCTGTTGACATCGTCATGATTGTTTGGTTTTGTTATTGTTGCGGGTCAGCATCATCCTCAGTTTTCAGCTTTGGAGATGATCAGGGTCAGGTCTGTCTTGATGAGCCCCGATGGTGCAAAGGGTCAAAGCAACTGCTCATTAGGATTGTCACGGGTGGTAGGAACCCAGAATGGTTGAAGTTTCTTGCAATAAGGATGTTTGGGACCACCTGTATCTCGGTAAAATTTAGTTGACAAAGAAGGAACAGTGGAATGAAGGCAGAACCCTAAACCCTTCTCTTTATAGGCAAAGCGGCATCCGCTCTTACCACTGGCTTCGGAATGGAGGTCGGGAACCGTCGAAGCGGGTTTGACTGGGATGAAACATCGTGAACACCTCGGACTAGTGCCGCAGTGCTTCAGCTTCAGCCGGGTCTGCTTGCCTCCCTCGCCAAGGATGGTGGACATCGATGTGTCGGTGTCCTCCTACGTGGTGAGGCGCTATCAGTCTCACAGCGCCCAGGCCGGTTCCACCACGCATCTCGTGAGATCCAAAGAATCGGATTCCGACCCCAGTTTTGAGGGTCTAATAGTAGCTTCTTGTTCGTAGTAAGAATGCTCCTAGTAGCGATGCCAAGAGCCCCTAGTAGCGATGCCCTTGCTCCTAGTAGTAAGGCCCCAACACCTCCGACCCCACAGGAACTTGCGCCCACGAAACACCCCGATCGACCTCGACCGACTCGAGGAGGGCCAGTGGCCGATCTGCGTCCAGCGGCTTTTCAAGCCTTTGCACTTGGCCTTCCGCATCACTGAGGCCCGCAACAGGGGATGAGATTGGTGAGATGTTGTTTCCCCATATTGGCCGTGTTGGTCATGTAGACCCTTCATTTATGATTTTGTTTGCGTATGTTACTTATCTTACTTGTTTCAGTGAGTTATATATATATATATATTTGCGTGTTAAATCTTTGCTATCCGCTTTGTGGTTTTCCTGGGACATTCTGTATCTCCAGGACTCCAGGAATTAGATGGAATGAGTATTTTCATTTTTTTCCTTTTAACATCTATTTTCAATGTTATTCTATCTGGAGCTACCATTTCATTTGGATGTATCATTACCTTTGCACTGGGTTACTGTTGTTGGTGTTGAAGCACTATTTCCAATGTTTTAACTTTACATGCCGTTCTGGTTTTTGAACCTAATGTACTTTAATGACTTTGTGTATTTTCCTTCCAATCTTACAGAAATGAGTTCGTTTGCCAACAACCCTAAGAAAGGCTACACGGAAACATGTATCTCCCTCCACCTCTTTTGGCTTGTGGCCCCTTTTCTTTCAAAGCAGGTCTGGATGCGACTGCTGGTGCTCGCAGGGCTCATGCAGATTCGCTACGAGCTCTTCAACCGGGACAGCGTTGTCAACAGGGCTCCGCAGGGTTCCGCAGGGCTCCGGCGGGCGGGTTTCGTCTTACTGTGGTGAGTTTCAGAGAGGAGGTCGCCATCCAGGATTTGCGGTGGCGAGCACTCAGATGGTCATTCCAAAATTGAAGGTTGGACAAGTTTGGGGAAGTTCCCCCTGGGTTGGTTGTTGACTTATGTTGACATGAATTCTTTGTTCCTTTGTTCCCTTTTGGATTGGAGCCAAAGTGGATGGAACCAGGTGAGGATATACGTGAGTGAGCAGCTGCTAGTAGTCTTTGTGCTTCTCCTCGATCTTTCAAACAGTGTTGGTAGATGGATGGCCAAAACAGACTTGCAGGGTGCGATCCTTCAGATGATGCGATGATGAAAGGCACCCAAGATGAACAGAATATGTGTTCATCGAAGGATTCTAATAGCAATGGCCTCCAACTAGAAGCGATGGCCTCCAACCTAAGAGCGAT